AGAGGGAAGGGTTCAGTTTGCTACTTCAAGGAACTCTACCCTCCTCTGAGCCTCCAACCGAGCAGACTCCGCCTTGTCAAGCTTCTCCTGTTTCTCGGCAATCTCGCTACTAAGAGCCTCCACCTTGAACTGGAACTCTTTGAGTTGGCCTCGCAGCAAGACCACTTAGGCTTGGAGATCACTGCATTAGGCCTCTACAACCCTGCTAAGCTCAAGCTCATCCTTTTTTCTCATCAATGTCCCTTTAAGGACACTGCATTTCTCCACAACCTCCTTCAGCTCCTCGTCCCTCTTGTTGAAGTCCTCCCTCAGGACCAGCAATGTTATTCAACAGAGTGCTGTCATTTATCGTCTCGAGGGTCTACAAAATGAAAAAAAGGAATTAGAGCTTACGAAAGAAATCGAAGCATAAGGAAATGAATAGACGACAGTCGGACGTACCCGAAAAGCAAGACCATCAATGTTATTCGACAGAGTGCTGTCGTTTATCGTCTCGGGGGTTGTACCCTCAATCTCAGAACAAAGAGGACCAAGGGCAAAAATTATTTCCTCGGTGTTTACAAGAAGATTAGGATCTATTGGGATCGAAATAGTCCGAGAGCCCCCTTCCAACCTCACCTCGAGTTGAGTAAGTCCCTAATCGATCATCCACAACTCGTTCAGATCCATATCAAAGTCAGATTCGACATCCTCTTTAGCAACGTCCTTCTTTCTGTCATCAGCCGCAACCACCAAAAGCATCATTAACGGGGATAAAAGTGTCGTCCACCTCCTCAACTCATTATTAGACAAAATCGAGGTAAGATCAGTAAGTTTGACTTGGGATAGGCGCAATCGTATTATCAACTACTTGCAGGACGGCGCACTCCCAAACGACAAAAAAGAAACCAAAAATTAAGAATACAAGCAGCTAGGTATAGCCTTCTCCATAACGACCTATACAAAAGGACGTATGGAGGCCCTCTAGCGAAATGTTTGGGCCCAAACCAAACCCAGCGTGTCCTCGAAAAGTCCATGAAGGCTATTGTGGCGCTCACTCCAAGAATCGAGCACTCGTAAGGTGCCTCATACAGGGAGGATACTATTGGCCCACCATAAAAAGGACGCTTTAGAATTCGTGAAAAAGTACGAACAATGCAAGAAATACGCCTCAATAATTCACCAAGATGGCAAACATCTCCACTCAGTTACCTCTCTATGGCCGTTCATCAAGTGGGGGAATGGACATCATGGGTCCCCTCCCAGCAGGGCGAGGTAATGTACTATTCCTTTTGGTTTTAACTAACTATTTCTCTAAATGGGTAGAAGTAGGAGCGTTCGCCCAAATACGCGAACAAAAGGTAATCATCTTTATATGGAGAAACATCATTTGCCGATTCGACCTACCCAAATAGATCAGTTGTGACAACGGACCCCAATTCACGGGAAAGAAAACGTTGAATCCTTCGAAAAATGACATATTAAGAGGATACTTTCAACCTTGTATCACCCGACGGGTAACGAGCATGCAGAATCTTTCAACAAATCCATATTAAACATCATGAAGAAAAAGCTCGAAGACGCCAAGGGACTGTGGTCATAGATACTCCCAGAAGTATTATAGGCGTATAGAACTACCCCGAAGATGAGCATAGGAGAAACACCTTACTCTCTGGTCTATGGGACCGAAACAGTCATACAAGTAGAAGTCGGAGAACCCGGCCTAAGGTACTCTCACGAATGTGGTATAAGAACACGAACAAAAAAATGTGCACTTACGTGTGTAATTCCAAATATCTGGAAAGCTATCAGCATTAGCCACCACGTCCTTGGTCCTAATATAGAAAAAATTGAACCACAACTGGCGATTGACCTTATCATCCATCTTCACCACCAAACATTTACCTCCTCGATGGCGAAGATTCAACATCGTTCACCTTTAGAAACTGGGGGCGAAGAGATGAACCAAATGCTGCAACATCTACTCGACCTCGACCAGTTCAGCAAATTTGGTCAATATTCTAATGATTTTATAGATGTATGACACAAGCTGAGGGGGGCAGACACCGTAGTGACGACAAAATTCCTCCGTTAACGGAATGAGGTGGAATGAATAGCCGTTGGGGAAAGGATAAGCGTATAAAGCGCAGTATCCGGGGCGATGAACCTGTACCACGTCCTCACCAGCCGGGATCAGGTCGACATGGTTTGGAAGGTCAAATTTGACATTGAGTTCCACCAATTCCTTAGGCGTCATCGTCGATTTAAAGACTCCAGGTGCAATATCAGGTAATTTGGTAAGGTCAAACCTAGTGTCAGGAATGCGGGGGATTATTTTCTCCACTGACGGGAATGTTTCGTCATCAATAATAGTGGTAGCACCCTCCCCATAAGAAGGAAACATAACTGCTAAAGGAGGAATACAACTCCCTTCATCAACGTTTGATGATAAGTCAGGCATGGTGCAAAGCGATAAGGAAGAATAACGAGTGGGAAAGAACGAAGAAGGAGTAAGGCAGCAAAGTGAGGAAGGAAGTTTAGGGAGGAAGACAGCAAGAAGGATGATGCTCTGGGAAGTTAGGAGAAGCAAACTTCAAAGTCAAGTCCAAAAACCTCAATTTATAGGTTTCATAGTACTAAACCCCAAAACGGCTCGTCATATTGGCACCAGAATCGAAACGGTAGAATCAAGCAAGGGTCACACATAAATCGAGGCAACACATCAAAAATATGCATCATAATGATGCTTGATGTCATGACGTCATTCTATTCCTTGGACAAGATAACTCCAAGAAATCGCCCGAGAAACTTGAGGTATTTGAATTTTGCGGCCCATAGATGGCCACGTGTCCTGCTCGACACGACGATTACAATTCTTGCAGCTTACTCAATAAGTCCGACCAAAAACGACATTATTCGCTCATTAAGCTCACCTGCAAGGGCGACCTCAATAAACGGAGGGACTAACTGTATGAGTATAAAATTATCTTTAATATGATTAAGTCATGTTAGTATTAAGGAGGTATTCACAGGCTGCCATGTATCACCAATACAACTCCAATGAAGGCCTACCCTAGGTCGAAGTGGTTCTAGAAACAATGAAGATTGCAGACAAAGAGACAACAAGGATCAAGGTCGAGGTCGAGCATCCTTGACAGAGTTATAATGGCTAGTTCCAAGATATGACAATAAAGAGAATATTCTAGTGGATATTCTCTGCACTTGTACTTAGGGGTGTACATAGGTCGGGTTGGTTCGGATTTTATAATTACCAAACCAAACCAATTGTGTCGGGTTATTAAATATAAAAACCAAACCAAGCCAATAAAACTTGGGTTTTTCACTCTCGAATTTTCTCGAATTTTCTGGTTATTCGGTTTTTTTCGGTAAAATCTTCGTAGAACAAAACATATAAATTGTGCTCAAAATATTTCTTTAGTCCTAGTAAGATGCAACTATATAAAGTATTTTCCAAGAAAATAATATAAAATATGAGATATGTCATGGCATTATCCTAAAATATTCAACAATAAAGACAATAAAATTATGTAATATAAATATTGCTAATTAAAAAGCCATAATAAAAATAAACATAATCTAAAAGTACTAAGTCATGCTAAAATAAGTAGACTAATAAGGGAGTATTAATTACATGATTAAACGCTAAAGAAAATATAAAAATAGGTTATGTATTTTTATCTGAATTATTGCAAAACAAAAAATAGATATTTAATACATTCTCGTTCGTAGTATTGAATTGAATATCTTTTATTAGCATTAATATTGATTTGATTTTGGTTTGGGCTTTTGTTAGCACTATTTAATTTACTAATATTAATGGCTATAAAACTTATTGGAACATTCAAAAGTTCTAAGTCCAACCTTGAAATAATACCTCAAAAGATGAAATTATGAAATCTTTTAAGAAATATTTATAAATTACGTCACAATAATTATATTTATATATTAAATATATCTAAAATTTCTATATATGTAATGTCAGGTTGGTTTGGTTTCGGTTTGACTTCCTTTAGTTAAAACCAAACCAAACCAAACCAATTATGGTCGGGTTTTTTTTTCCAACATCAAACCAAATCAAACCAAACCATAGTCGGGTTTTTTTTCTCGGTTTGACTCTGATTATCGGGCTGGTGCGGTTTGTCGGTTTCCTTTGTACACCCCTACCTGTACTATTAGGGTTTCTAGGAATATGTTCCCTATAAATAGAAAGAGACACAATAATAGGGGACATGAGATATTCATTTATAAAAAACACATGGGCTTTATAGAGAGAATCTGGTCCTATTGCAAGCATAAAAAACAACTTGTTTTTACTAAAATTCTTGTCTAGCATTTTCACTGGATCCAAGAACAACCTGAATGTTCAAAGGCTTATCAATCATTCATCATTGTCAGAGAGAATATCCATAGATTTCACCCCTTTTCGGGTGATTCACACGTTCTTATTTATTTACTTAAATGCTGTTTATTGCTATTTATTACTATTTAATGTCACATTCCATCTTTTTGGGTCATTGAACACTATTATTATTGCTTACATTCATTGCTATCCGGACAAATATATAAGTTATTTGTCATAAAACCGATAACTTTATCTTTAGGATATTATTATAAGCTAAGACTGACTCTTCCTTATTTAAATCTAATTGATTGAACCGAGATCCATATTTTTGGCCAAACACTATTTTTATTGAAGAAAAATAATCCTGATATCTCCAAAAACTCGTTCTTCTTAAAAAAAAAACCTGGAAAACAAAAGTCAATAAAAAAACCAGAACCAAATTCAATTCCAAAGCAATTTAATAAACAAACCGCGTCCTAATAGCATAAGGAGAGAAAAAAAAGGAGAAAACAAAGCTAAAGAAAAGAAAGGAATAGAGTGAGGGGTCCATTATTCAGAAAACTTTTTGGTTTGGGGCCAATGGAAAAAAAAAAAGAAAAGCGAGATTCGGAATAAAGACGGGGTACACTACACCACAAAATGGAACCAAATAAATAGCGCTCGCTATTCTTATTCTTATTTCATCCCAAGTTAGCGTAAAAGGGACGAGCGTCGACTTCTTCTGTTTCTGTAGCTGAGCAAGTAAAAGGATCAATAAATCAATCAATCATGCAGATCTTCGTGAAAACCCTAACCGGAAAAACCATCACTCTCGAAGTTGAGAGCAGCGATACGATTGACAATGTCAAAGCTAAAATTCAGGTATATTCCCGCCCTCCAATTTATGCCGCTTTTTACTGTTCAGGATTTCGTTTTGTTTTCATGAATTAGGGTTTTGACTTTTTGGATATTAAGATTGCTGGTTTTTAGTTTTTCTCTTGTCTGATCAAAGGCGCAATCTTTTTTGTATGCGTATATAATGTGTGTGGAGATTGATACATATAATAGCTCAACGTTTTAAATAATAATAATAATCTATCTTGGCCAGCTCATGCTCACCTCGATTAATTTCACGGGTACCTGTTAGCTCCCACCAACGTAGGTATCAGGTAACACTCTCAACCAAGGCTTGGACAAGGCCACACCCTTGGGTGCTATAATAGCCAGGGGCGAATGTTGTGTTGAACCGACAGGTTTAATTGAACCCATGACTTTCGACGCTATGTAAACATTCATTAAAATATAGTAGATATGAACCCATAACTTTAAAAATATAATGGGTTCAATGCTAAAAAACCTTGAAAGTTGAACCCATAGGATTTAAATCTTGGATCCGCCTCTGATAATAGCTCAACGTTTTCGGCAATTTGTGTTGCAATTTAAGTTTCTTTTGGACAATATATTCTGCTAATCGATGCACTGCTTACAATCTAATTGGTGGTCATGAATACATGATAATTCGAAGTTGAAAGGGAGCTCTTTTCTGCCCTGCTATTTCGTAACATCACGTCGTCTTTAGTCTAAATCAATTGATCTTTCAATTGCCGAGGATGAGAACTGGAATTTGCTCCTCCTATGCAATATTTTGTCAGTTCCTTATTTGCCGTCAAATGCTGTGCCAGAAGGCACTGGTTTTGGAACCTCAATTGATACAGGCTTATGGGCTCACATAATGTGCCTATGGCTTCTTGTGGATTGTCATAACTGTTCAAAAAGGGAATATGTACTTCAAGTTGATGTCCAAGTTATGAGTGATAAACTCTTTTAAGTTACCTACATCACTTTCAACTCATTTTTTTTAGCAAAAAAAGAAACTTGACTATTGCATCCCTACAAGTGGTTAAATATATTGAATTAAGTATGTACTGGATGTAATCGTACAAGATTGAAAATGCATACATTCACCAAATTGGATATAAAACAGACAGATAAACCTGCAATGACACAAAGACACAAGAATGTAGAATGTGGATGTTGTAGTTGTCATTTGGGTTATTGATGGCTGCTGGAGTTAAGATATCTTATTATTTGTTCTTTTCTTTTTGGTAGTAAGACTTAATAGTTTCATGCTCACTAATCATGTGTTGCTATTTATCCGGATCATTTTTTTATTTTTATTTTTTGATAAATATTCATTCTGGAGATTTATCACCTTGCCTGTCCAAATAAAGTCCCTGTTGCACTTTCCAAGGTTTTCTTTCCTCCCTGTTTCTCTTTTGAAATCTTCCTCAAGATGTTGTTGGAGTGAATGTGCATTACATGAAGACGACGGACTTTCTTGAGAATGGTAACATCTGTATTAATAGAAAAAACACTAAGGCAGTGCGACGCAATATGTACAGGGGGATCAATCTTGATCTATATTAACTACAAAGAGCCTAACATGTCTATCAAAGATTCTGTATCCTCTACAAGACTTTCTTTACACCAAAAATGAAATAGAAGAATACAGTTCATCTTGACATCCTGAATGGAATTGTATCTGTCTTCAAAAACTCTTTGAGTTTTTATCCTTCCATATTGTCCATCATATGCAAGCAAGTATCAATCTCCACCATGTCTTCTGTCTCACTGAGCCTCCATTGTTGTTCCAAGATTTTATTAACTCAACAGTAGTAGCTGGCACATACCATCTTAGCCCAACATGAAGATGACTGACTTGTCATGTGTGTTTTCTAGTGCTTATGCCGTGTGCATATAAATATCAGCTTTGTGTTTGGATGCTTAAACATAAAAATCTGAGATAATGCCTCTGGGCACCGGTGTTTTTACTAGATGATATTTAACCGTTGTTTGATAGTATTGGGATCACCTGGAATCTCCATTATGTGCTTGTATGTTTAGGTGGCCTTGATGGGATATTTTTAATTCATTTATCTACTTGTTCCCTCGTGGGAATTGGTGCTACCATGCTCTTGATGATATCCCTTACTACCTTAGGATGATGTTACCAGATATTCACCATTGTTGGAGCTTGTTTTGAAGCCCTTTATCTTGTTTAGCTACTCGGTTTAATGAATCCCTTGTCAAGTAGTTCCTGAAGTTTCTCTTTCCGTTCTTTTGGCTTAGGTGTAGCCATTCTTTGTGTAGGGATAGAGATATGTTGTTTCCCTGGTGCTAGAACTCTATGCTCACTCAACCATGGGCATTTTTCTATTTTAGGGCTACGAGAAACCTGATCAAATATGGGTAAAGATTGTACTCAGTCTTTGATTTGGTAACTAGTTTATTTGAAATCAACCTTAATACTATCAAATACGTGCAGTCCCAAAATATGACCTCTAAGAAGACCCACAAAATGTATGACCCCACCATAACCCATAAGGAAAAGCTCATAACCATCGACTCCCTATAAGCTAAATGAAGGTCCTTGAATTACAATTTCTGCATATATCGACTTTTAATTGCCGTAATATGCGATCTGCTGTTGGATAGTGAGGTGTTGTTTCAAATTTTCCTTCTCCTGCTATCCCTGTCTGCCCTGCACTGCCTTGGTTTTGTCCACTTATCTTTTGGAGTATTTGTTAAATGCTGGCATTCATGCTAACATGCATTAGTTAGTCATGTGCTCTTTTCTTTTTACTTAGAGCTGACAAGATACTGTATGTGTTGGTTACCAGGATAAAGAAGGCATACCTCCTGATCAGCAGAGACTGATTTTTGCTGGGAAACAGTTGGAAGATGGTCGGACCCTGGCTGATTACAATATTCAGAAAGAATCAACTCTTCACCTCGTTTTGAGGCTCAGGGGAGGAACTATGATCAAGGTGAAGACTCTCACTGGAAAGGAAATTGAGATCGACATTGAACCCAATGATACCATTGATCGGATTAAGGAACGTGTTGAGGAGAAAGAAGGAATACCTCCTGTGCAGCAAAGGTTTTTATTTCTTTTATTTCAATAAATTTGAATACCACAGATTTGTGGTCTCCAGTGTTTGTTTTTGCTCCTCTTCCCCCACACCATACTGCCTCCTCTCACCCTCACCATGTGACCAAAAGAGTGGCAATGTTGTATGAGTGATGCTGTGTGCCTGGCCTATGAATCTTTTTTGGACTTATATTTTAAAATCTGCAGGTTGTCATTTTTGTGTTGCCTGATATTTCTGACATTCCCTGTAATAACTACTATTATTAAATGCTCCTCCTAGACTTGATTTATCGCAATTTTTCTACTTTACCCATTTTCATAAGTATAACAATTCATAGTTGTGTCAATTGAATGTCACATATGAGTTGCTTAGATGCAGTGTATTCAAGGATCAAGGGAATGTGAAGCCCTTAGGTCCATATTGTAATAAATGTTTTTGAGGCATACCGCATACTCTTTGGAGAATACAATTAAACTTTTGTGTGGTTCAGTTGACAAGCATACAAGTAAAGACATACTGACTTGAAAAATATGTAAAAAACGCAAGTTCTATAAACTGGCAATGCTGGCATATTTTAAGAGCATTGTGAACATTCAACGGGTCTAACAGCTCTTGCATCTGCCATTCTGCACTGGTTAAGACATCGTCTAGAAAATTCAGCAGGTCTTATGAAGCTTATAGATCTTTTGTCTGCATTTGCTCTCATCAGCCAAATTTCATAGTTGCTTGCTGGCATGCCTCAGAATAATGTTGGGCATCCAAATGTTTTTTTCTTTCCTTTTTTGTTTAAGTTTCAATCTTATCTCTCTTCTTTGGAGAAAAAGATTGCTTACAGTCTTGGTTTCTTAAAATGGTTTTCTTGCAAGTTGACCGATATAACTAAAATGCACTTTGTTATAGTAATTTGGACTGCTTAGCTTCTTCCCTTACTTAGAAGGGACGGTGAACGTCAAAACACAACTTATGTGTAAGCCCTCAGTCAGTGTGTTCGTATCTTATGTGTTTGAGATAACGGAAAAGATGAAAAAATCATAATTCTATTCTTTAACAGTTTTGGCAAACTTTCGTTGTGTATCATGGTCATTATCTAGTACATTAGGCAGGCCTTTACTGAAATACACTTTCTCAGTTCGCGAAATTCCATGGTACCGATTTGATTTCACTTTCACTTCGGTTGGTCTTATCGGCAGAAAGTAAATAGTGGCTAAGAGATATCTAACTTGTCCCTAACTCAATATTTTTGTGAACAAGTCATTTTACTTATACGGTCAGCGCGTTATACAAGTACCTTCTTCATATTTGTTGTTTTATTTCTGTTCGGCAGTTTACGACAGTGGTTTTATTTTTTGTGCCTATGGTTTATTGCAGGCTTATTTATGCTGGAAAACAGTTGGCAGATGACAAGACTGCTAAAGATTACAACATCGAAGGTGGTTCTGTTCTTCACCTTGTTCTTGCACTGAGGGGTGGCAGACTCTAGGTAGCAATTAACTTGGTGGAAACTTATATGTCCTTTCTTTTTCCCATGAATTTGGCATGAACATTTCTTCTCCCCCCCCNTACTATTGGAATAAACTGGAAAACTTGTGGTTGAATATGTTGTGATTGACTTGCCCCTTATTTGTGTTGGACTCGTGCTTAATTTGCTATTTATAGTTCTTTTTCATTTCTTCGAGACGGGTATGGGATTAAGCTGGGTTTGTTGTAGTTATTTTCATTTCTTGCTACAACCAATAGAGGTTTACTCCCTTTTAAATATATGCACATAATCGCTCTGCTGCAAACCATGTCACCCTAGAGAACCAACTTATACTACAGATTGATCTCCCTTCTTCCCTTTCGCTTGGAGAAGCTCCTACGAGATTATTAAGCTTTACCCAATGGTCATTACCACGACCCATTTTTTAAAATTTCTTTTTTTTTTTGT